CCTGTCTGGGCCCTGGAGTGGGGGCTGGACGCCTCAGGAAGCCCTGGTGTCCTCACCGACAGGAGTCAGGGCTGCCCGGGGAAGCAGAGCTGTGTTCAGTGTAAGCTCTGTAAATGCCCAGCTCTTGTTCCGGCTGTTGTGGGTGGACAAGGCCAAGCTCACCCAGCTCTGCTCCCAGGCAAGAGAGAGTCCTGTGGGGCACGGGGAGTTGAGTCTGCGGCGGAAGGCTGTTGACAGTCAACACAGTCCGGCTTCAAGATCGAGCAGCCAGCAGGGGCCAAGCCCAGGCTCTGGGGCCCTCAGTCCAATGACAGCCTTTGGGGGCAGTCTGGGGGCTCCGGGAAGGGGTTGGGTCACCGGGTGTCCGAGAAGAGAGCGCAGGGCTGTGGGGCCTGCCGCTCCTCCCTTCCTCCTCTCTCTTCCTCCCTTTCTTCCTGCTCACTCAGTTCTGCAGCCCCTCGCATGTCCCAGGTGTTACAAGGCCCCGAGGCCAGGGGTCTGAGTTCAGCAAGGCTGCCAGCCTAGCCTCCCGCTCCCGTACCTCCCGCTTTCACTCACCGCCTCATACAGGCCTTGCACCTGCCGCTGGACTCCCTCCTCCGCAGTTGCTCCCCGAGTCCCTCTCGTGTGGTCAGTTCAGCTCTGAGGTCTGACGAGCCCTGTTCTCCCATGCGGATGCAGAGACCCAAGGACCTGGGCCATCCTCTACCTCCTTCCCAGGCCACAGCGCCAGCCCAGGACCAGGTAACTCTTAAAGTCTGAAGTTTATCTGGCTTACAGATCTGGAGGCTGGGAAGTGCAGACGCAGGGTGCTGGCCTCTCTCGGCACCTAATGAGGGCTTCCTCATCCTATAAAACCACTAACACAGGTCAGTGCTGTGGCATAGTGGTTTAAGCTACCACCTGCAGTGCGGGCATCCCATATGAGTGCTGGTTCGAGACCCGGCTGCTCCACTCCCGATCCAGCTCTCTGCTATGGCCTGGGAAAGCAGTAGAAGATGGCCTAAGGCCTTGGGCCCTTGCACCTGTGTGGGAGACCCAGAAGAAGCTCTTGGCTCCTGGCTTCAGATCAGCGTAGCTCCTGCCATTGTGGCAAATTGGGGAGTGAACCAGCAGATGGAAGACTTCACTCTCTCTCTGCCTCTGCCTCTCTCTGTGTAACTCTGACTTTCAAATAAATAAGTCTTAAAAAAAAAAAAAAACTACCACCATCCTGGGGGCCTCACCCCCATGACCTCATCTTATCATGATTATCTCCCAAAGGCTCCACCTCCAAACATCATCAGTATGTCAATATGGAGATTGATTTCCCAACACATGAAGCTTGGGGGGGATCATGCCTGTTAATCAATCACTCCCCTCTCCTCCCCTCTTGAGCCAGCTGTGGGCCCCCAGGAATCTGCTGTCTGGATTAAACCAGTCCATATCCAGCGCAGTGAAGTCAGGCTATGTGACCTGGTGCACCCGACGTCTTCACTCAGTACAAAACTTCTGAGATTCAACCGCATTCTAGCACGACCAGTAATGCATTCCTTTGTAAGACTGAGTAATATCTCCTTGTATGAACAGACCACAACTTGCTTACTCACTCTTGAGTTGATGGGCTTTGGGGCTATTTCTGTTTTGCTATTGTGAATACACTGTGATATACAGATTCTTAAATTTTTAAAATTTATCTGAAAGGCAGGCAGACAGAGAAATCTCCCACGTGCTGGTTTATCCCCCAGATTCTCACAACAGCCAAGGCTGGGCCAGGTCAAAGACAAGAACTGGGAACTCCTCCCAGGTCTCCCCCATGGGAGGCAGGGAGCCAAGTACTTGACCGTCTCCCAATGTGTACATGGGCAGGAAGCTGGGACTCAGACCCAGGCATCCTCCGTGACGGCCAGAAACCCACCCCATTTCATGCACAGATTTGCGCGTGCACAGGTTTTCCGTTCACTTTGGTCTGTACTCAAGAGAGGCCTTGCTGGGTCACGTGGTACACTGGGTCTGTGTGTGTGTTTGAGGGACTGCCAGACTGTGTTCTCAAGTGGTGATACCATTTAACATTTCCATTAAAGGTTTTACTTAGCACACAGTGAATAAGAGAACTGGTAAAATTTAACAAGCATCATCTGATATGGGCGCCGGTTCGAGTCCCGGCTGCTCCACTTCCCATCCAGCTCTCTGCTAATGCACCTGGGAAAGCAGTGGAAGATGGCTCAAGTGCTTGAGCCCCTGCACCCACGTGGGAGACCCAGAAGAAGCTCCTGGCTCAGCCCCAGCCATTGCGGCCATTTGGGGAGTGAACCAGTAGATGGAGGATCTGTGTGTGTGTGTGTGTGTGTCTCCCCCTCTCACTTTCTGTAATTCTGCCTTTCAAAGAAATAAAAAAAGAAAACTTAAAAAAAAAAAAAAAGATGTCACAAGCAGTTCAAAGCAGACGTGCTTGTCGGTTAAGCAATATGGAAACGAATGTGGAAGTGAGACACAGGTGCTGCTGGACGCCTGACAGACAGAACAGGGTCTGCTTGTTGAAGCCCCACCCGTTATTCACAACACACAGAGTTGTAAGACAGCTCAAAGGCAGGGAAGGCGCACCAGCCCCGGTCGGTCAGTGAACTGGAGACACTCTTGCTTCCCCCACATGTGCTCACACCCCCTTAACCTTGGACTTGCTCCCTGATCTCTCCCCGCCGTCCCTTGTCGTCAGCCTCTCTGCTGAAGGCTGCTTCTTCCCCAGCCTCAGTCTCTGACCAGAGCTCCGTAGAGGGTGGGCCACCACCTGCCAGCCTCTTCCCCATGTGTCCCAGGGGACCTCACCCATGCATGTCCCTTTGTGACCCTGTCACCTCCGATGTCCCCACTCGCTCCTCCACCTGTGAGTCCCATCTCAGTGAGGGGCCCTCACCTCACTCGGTCACCACACGTTGCCCACACGTTGCCTGGCCTGGGTCCCTGGGAAGCATTCCTTTACCTTCACTCACATTCGACAAGTGTGCACGGAGCCCAGCACAGGTGCCCCAGCCAGTGTGTGCGGCCACACTGCCTGTGCTGTGGATCTGAGTTCTGCCTCTTTGTATTCAGTGACCTTGGGCAAAGGATTTTATCTCAGTGCCTCAGGTTCCGTCTGTATCAAATGGCCATAAAATTTGTACCCACTTCCTGGGTCAGGGATGGGTGTAATGCGTATAATGTCTGGCCAAGAGTAGCAGTGACAGCTCCCTTACCGAGCAGGTGACAAGTGCCTGATGCCCCTTGAATCCTCGCCAGGACCCCCGTGGTGAGACTCTGAGATGGTGCGTGGGTAGATGCCTGGCTTAAATGCTCAGAGTCCCGTGGAAACTCCACTCGGGCTCCAAGGCCTGCAGGTCCCCACCTTGGACCCAGTGCCGTCCAGTCTGATGGTGGAGCGACACCTGCTGTTGCCAAGTTGGATGTGCAGCCATGGGCCTCCCTTTTCCTTGAAAGTCCCGCTTGCTCGCTCGGCAGCCTTGTCTTTGGGCAGGGATGCTCCGGGGTACGGAGAGGGGCGGGCTCCATCAGCTCTCCTGACGGGCATGTGTTGTCTACATTATACCATCACCACCGCTCAAGTCACACCAGCACTCCCCTTTGCCTGGCCGAAGACTCGGCCTGCTGTGCCGGCTCCCCCACCTGTCCCCTGCTCCGGCACGGGAGCCGGAGGGCTTCTTTTCAAAAGGAAGCCAGTGAGGCTGGTATTTTTCTGGCACAGAGTGAGCAATGCATCTTGGTCACTAGATTTTTGTAGGAATCTATAAAATATTCATTGAGTGAGTAGAGGAACCCTCAGCAGTTTTTGCCCGGGAGCCTTGAGACACTTCCCTGGCCAGGTGGACTTAGGGCTTCACCCGGCGGTGTTCATCTCAGACTTACACGCACCCTCACACCCACACCAGCGACCCACTCTTGCTCAGGGACATGACCATCCCATAGGAGCTAGGCCAACCCCCGCTCCTCGATTTTCTGTATCTGCTGGGGACAGTGTGAGCCTGGCATACAATAGGTGCTCAATAATTGCCCTTAGTTCCATTATGTGGAACTTGGTACTCCCTTTCCTTCCTGAGCACCCTCCACCCTGGGAGAAGCCAGCTCCTACTGTTCCCCACTTGGGATGCCAGGGCCCTGCTGGGCTGCCTTCTGGGGTGCCAGCTTCCCTGAGCCTCACGACCACCACGGCCACGCCCACAGATTGCCCTGTTCAGCATCCTGTGCCCTCCCAGCAGCCTCCATGCTTGCATGGTGAGCCAAGACGACAGCAGCCGACACATGCCCCTGCCCAGTGCACGGGGCATCCTGACCATCTGCTCTGGCCGCCTCTGCCCAGCAGGTGGTCCTGGGAAGAGTGAGTTTTTGCAGGGTTGGCTCCTTCTCCTCATTTTTTTTTAAATTTTTTAAAATTATTTTTTGACAGGCAGAGTGGACAGAGAGAGAGAGAGACAGAGAGAAAGGTCTTCCTTTGCCGTTGGTTCACCCTCCAATGGCCGCCACACCGCGCTGATCAGATGGCAGGAGCCAGGTACTTATCCTGGTCTCCCATGTGGGTGCAGGGCCCAAGTACTTGGGCCATCCTCCACTGCACTCCCTGGCCACAGCAGAGAGCTGGCCTGGAAGAGGGGCAACCGGGACAGAATCCGGCGCCCTGACCGGGACTAGAACCCGGTGTGCCGGCGCCGTAAGGCGGAGGATTAGCCTAGTGAGCCGCGGCGCCGGCCCTCATTTTTTTTTAATTAAATTTTTATTTATTTGAAAGACAGAGCGACGAGATTTCCCATTCCCTCTGCTGGCTCACTCTCCACATGCCCACAACAGCTGGGGCTAGGCCAGGACGAAGCCAGGAGCCCAGAGTCAATCCAGGTCTCCCACATGGGTGGCAGGGACCTGGCTACTTGGGTTGTCCCCGACTGCCCTCCAGGGTGCACGTTAGCAGGAAGCTAGAATGTGGAGCAGAGCAGGGACCCAAGCCCAGGCACTTTTTTTTTTTTTTTAAAGATTTATTTATTTATTTGAGCAGCAGAGTTACAGAGAGGAAAGGCAGAGAGGGGGTACTCCATCCGCTGGTTCACTCCCGAAATGGCCACAACAGCCAGAGCTGGGCCGATCTGAAACCAGGAGCCAGGAGCTTCTTCTGGGTCTCCCATGCAGGTGCAGGGGCTCAAGGACTCGGGCCATCTTCCACTGCTTTCCCAGGCCACAGCAGAGAGCTGGATCGGAAGTGGAGCAGCCGGGACTTGAACTGGTGGCTCCAGATGGAATCTTGATTGCTGCCCTGAACACCTGCCCCTCATCTTTTAGGTCATCCTTCAATTGCTTCCTGCTCACAGGGGCCCTTCCCAGACCCCGTTTCAGAAAAGCGCTTCCCCAGTCGTGTTCCCTGCCAGCGTCTGCTTTGTTCCTGTAGCGTGTTCATCACTGCTCACACTCATCTTCTTTATTCGGTTACATTCTCTCCGCTCTCCCTTTGCCAAGGGAACCTTGAAGCATCTTCCCTGGCACCACGCAGGGCCTGGCATGGGGAGGTTGCTGTTAGGATGACCGCAGGAATGGATTAGTTTCTGGCCAGCAGGAGGCGCTGCAGAAAGCCTGGCGGAGACCGGGAGCAGGACCCCTGAAGGCTGTCTCCAGGGTCCTTTCGTGGCTCTGGTGGGCATCAGCTCAGGGACAGGACTCCGGCCTGACTGGGGAAGCGAGGGTGGGCCCTGAGAATGGCAGCCCCCCTCGCGTGGCCTGGCCCTTCCCGCTAATCCGCCTGCCTGCAGACACAGGAAGACAGGGCCTTGAGCGAGCCCTTGACTGTGCCCCAAGTCGAAGACCTGGCAGGCCCAGCCTTTGAGGGGCTCCCCTTGGCTTTTGGACTCTCCTGAGGGCAGAATGGGCCGACTGGGGAGGAAGCTGGGGCCTCAACCCCTCTGCAGGGTGGCAGGGTGTCCCTGGCCTGCGCAACGGGTCTCCAACCCGGGGACAAATACTGAGTCCCACCAGGCTCGCTTCCCCCACAGAACACGATGTAGGTCTTCACTGGTGGGGCTGCAGGCCCTCGTCGGGGCCTCGGGCCTCGGCGGGGCACTGGAGGCGTGGCCAGAGGGAGCTGTTTTCCGAGGCCACAGTCGATGAGGAAGGTCAGGTGAGCCTTGGGGATGGCCTTCTGAGGTCGCACCGGCTTCCAGCCTGGAAGGAAAGAAAAGAACAAAGACTGGTGTTGGCACAAGCCAGGGACACGTTTCCAGTCACCCATTTGGTCCTTCATCCAACGGGGTTAAACTGAGTGTTGGCGGAAAGACAAGTGGGGTTTAAGAGCCTAGGTTTTGGGGCAGGCATTTGGCACAGCTGTGGAGTTGTTGCTTGGGAGCCCACATTCCACATCGGAGTGCCCGGTTCAAGTCCTGGCTCCTCTGCTTCCCATCCAGCTTCCTGCTAATGTGCTCCCTGGGAGGGAGCAGAATTGGCCTCAAGTGGTGGATTTGTGCCACCATGTGGGAGACCTGGGTGAGTTCTTAGCTCTGGACTTCAGCCTGGCCTAACTCTGGCTGTTGTGGGCATTTGAGGAGTGAACTACTAGTGGATGGAAAATCTCTCTGCCTTTCAAGCTAAAAGAAAAAAGAAAAAATATTTTTCTTGAAGTATTTATTTATTCATTCATTTGAAAGGCAGAGTTACAGAGAGAAAAAGGGAGAGACAGAGAGAGAGAAATCTTCCATCTTCTGGTTCACTCCCAAAATGGCTGCAACAGTGGGGCTGGGCCAGGCTGAAGCCAGGATCCTGGAACTCCATCCTGGTCTCCCATGTGGGTGCAGAGACCCAAAGAGTTGAACCATCCTCTGCAGCCTTCCCAGGATTGGAAGTGGAGCAGCCAGACTCGAACTGGCACCCATATAGGATGCCTGCATCGCAGACATCAGCTTAACCCACTCCCCCACAATGCCGGCACCCCCAAGTTTTGTTTCTGTTTTGTTGTGTTTTCAAATTCAGCACCGCAGAGACCTGAGTTTAAATCCTGGCTTCTCGGGGCCGGCGCTGTGGCGCAGAGTTAACGCCCTGGCCTGAAGCGCCAGCATCCCATATGGGCGCTGGTTCGAGACCGGCTGTTCCACTTCCGGTCCAGCTCTCTGCTGTGGCCTGGGAAGGCAGAAGATGGCCCAAGTCCTTGGGCCCCTGCACCCACTTGAAAGACCCAGAGGAAGTTCCTGGCTCCTGGCTTTGGATTGGTGCAGCCCCAGCCGTTGCGGCCAGTTGGGGAGTGAACCATCAGATGGAAGACTCTCTCTCTCTCTCTCTCTGTCTCTCCTCTCTCTGTGTAATTCTGACTTTCAAATAAATAATCTTTAAAAAGAAATCCTGGCTTCTCAGGGCAGGCACTTGGTCTAGTGGGTAAGATGCTGGTCTGGGAACCCGCATCCATGGAGTGTCTGAGTCCCACAGCCTGCTCCACTTCCCATTTCAGCTTCCCTGCTCCACTTCCGATTCCAGCTTCCCGCTAAAATGTACACACACCCTGGTTGGCACAAGGGATGGCTCAAGCAGTTGGATTCCTGCCACCCACATGGGCGATCTGGATTTAGTTCTCAGCTCTGGACTTCACCCTGGCCCAGCCTCAGTCCTTGTGGGAAACTGGGGAATGAACCAGCGTATGGGAACTCTCACTTTTCTCTGTCCATCTATCTCTTTCAAATGTCCCTGTCTCTGCCTCCTAAAAAAAAAGAGAGAGAGAGAAGAAAAGAAAATTCCTGGCTCCTCCCCGTCTCAGCCATCTGTCTTCCAAGAGCATGGAGCCCAGCACACCAGAGCTTCTCTGCTTTACTGTGTACATGAAGTCAGGTCTAGGATGGGGCCCGAGAGTCTGCATTTCTAATAAGCTCCCAGGGGACGGCAGTGCCGTGGGTCCATGGGCCCTCAACCTGAGAGGGTGGCCCTGCACCTTTCACTAGTGAGTAAACTCAGGTGGGCGTTGTGGAGCAGCGGGTTAAGCCACCCCCTAGGAAGCCTGCATCCCATATTGAAGTTCCTGGTTAAACCCTAGCTGCTCCGCTTCTGATTCAGCTCCCTGCTAGTGCGCCTGGGAAGACAGCAGAAGACGGCCCAAGCGCTTAGGTTTCTGCCAACTGCAGACTGGATGGAGTTCCTGGCTCCTGGCTTCAGCCTGGCCCAGACCCAGCTGCTGAGAACCGGGGAGTAAACTGGCAGATGAAATCTCTCTCTCTCTCTTTCTGCCTTTCAAATAAATGAATAAATCTTTAAAAAAAAAAATGAAGAAACAGGCTCAGCTTGCATGGGGGTGGGTAGCCGTCAGGAAACTCCACGCCTCTATTCCCTCCCCCACAATGCTGTCCCCAGTCTGGGACAATCCCATCAGCAATGGCCTTCGGCCCTGGGGATCTTCCCTCCGTGCAGCTGGTGTAACCCACTCCCTAGCTTGGAGGCCAGCTCAGTGTGGGTTTATCCAGGAAGCAAGGGTCAGAGCAGATTTGCCTGAATGCAAAGCCTGTGCTGTTAACAGAGTCACTCTCTGGGCTTCCCCGAGCAGTGCCACGTCTGTTCTTTCACCTGGTGCTGTTAGGCGCGACACAGGCTCAGATGGGGGCTTGCGTGCTGGTGGAGAAGGCGCACCCTGGCTTGAGACTCCTGGCTGCCCTGAGGCAGCACCTCCCCCCACCCCCCCGGCCCCCAGCTAGTCTCGGCCCCCTCTTACCGGAGCTGGTCTCTAAGTGTGTCCCAAGGCTGGGGTCTTTGAGGCTGGCTCTCCAGTCCCTGGAGTCTTCTGAGGGGGCCATGTCGATGCCACGGCAGCAGCCTAGCTCTGACAGGAGGGAAGCAGTCCCTGGTCGAGTCTTCTAGGATGTAGCGCTCTCACCCTGGGACCAAACCTTTTATATTTGCCGGAACCAGATCCGGATTTGCTGAGTTCCACCAGGAGCCACGGGAACTGGCCTGGGGCAGTGAGGGATTGCTTTGATCAACATGGTTGTGTCAACAGGATTATTGTCGCTGCCCTGGGAGGGCTGCCTCCTACCAGACAGTTTCTTCCAGCGTCAGCAGTGGCTTCCTGGCTTGGGATAGATAGGTATGTACACTTCCAGAACCTTCTCATGAAGCCCTCAGTTTCCCAAATCTGTCTTTGGCCACGTCTGCAGCTTTTGTGTTTGATTCCTATCTAACAATCATACGAATGCTACTGACCCAACATGTCCCTTAAGTCAACTGTTTTTACTGCAAAAGAGAAGTGCTTCAAAGGGAAAGTTGGCATGGCACCCTTACATAGAAGCGGTGTCTCTCCCATAGAGAAGTAACTAGGTGTGGCAGGTGGAGCGGTGGTCCTCCAGGGATGCCACGCCCTCATCCCCAGAATCTGTGAGCCTGGGGCCTTGCCTGACAGATGTGATTACAGAAGAGGGACTTTGAGTTGAAGGGGATTACCCTGGGTCATGTGAGCGAGCTCATGTCAACTCCTTAAGTCAGAAAACCTTTCCAGGCTGGATTAGGGAGCCATGTGGGGAGGGCAGAGGCGGGAAGGATGTGAAGTGAGGACGCCACCGCCATCGCTGGCTGTGGAAGTTTTATCTAGAAAAGCATGCAACTGAGACTCAGGACGACACCCTCACAACACAGATCCCTTCTGACACAAGAAGCAATCAACTCAGCGGTGGGCACCCAGGCCGGCGTCCCCCGGCTCATTTCAACTCGGACCCCACCCACCTGGATCCCCAGGCTGAGGGCTCCGTCCCCAGCACTGTCCCCGCGTCAGACGACAGCTGCAGGCTCCAGTTGCTCTACCTGTGCTTCTGATGGGGCTTCCACAGCCCCTGCTTGCTGTAGGGCACACAGAACTCGGGCGAGAGCTTTCTGCTGGCCAGTTTGTCATGAAGGATATTAGTACCAGGGACACAGATGAAGAGATGCACAGGGCAAGGTGTGGGGGTGGGGAACCTCTTTTCTGCCAAGGGCCATCTGGATACGCATGGCGTCGTTCATGGACCATGCAAAATTATCGCCTTGAAAATTAGCCTGCTATAGATGCATTGAATTTTGGCCAGATGAAATGACCTTATGGGCCCTGGAGCTGGACATGCCCCAGCTGGTGGACAGGAGGGGAAGTGGAGCTTCCATGCCTCTCCAGGAGCCTCTAGTGTTCAGCTTTCCTGACCTTCTCCCAACCCTGTCCTTTCGGATTTTTATGGTGACTTCATTGCATAAGCATAATTGAGAAATGGATTTGGACTCAAACCAGCAACCAAATGGGATGCTGGCACCGAAGGTGGAGGCTTAGCCCACTATGCCACAGCACCAGCCCCTGCTCCTCTTCTGATTCAGTTCTCTGCTAATGGCCAGGGAAAGCAGTGGAAGGTGGCCCAAGTGCTTGGGCCCCTGCACCCACATGAGAGACCCGAAAGAAGCTCCTGGCTCCTGGCTTCAGCCTGGCCCAGCCTTGGCCATTGCAGCCATTTGGGGAGTGAACCAGCAGATGGAAGACCCCTCTCTCTGTTTCTCCCCTCTCTCTGTCTGTAACTCTGCCTCTCAAATAAATAAATACATATTTTAAAAGGAATAAAAATAATTATTTTTTAAAAAGGAGATGGGGAGAACCTTCATTGGCTACCACCAGAGGTAATCAGGACACCAGCTCCTGACCCTGAAAATCGCAGATTAAATGGACATAAACATCCAAGAGACAGATAGTGACAAGTGTTAGCAAGGGTGAGAAGCTGAGGGGCCGGCTCTGTGGCCCAGTGGGTTAAAGCCCCAGCCTGCTGTGCCAGCATCCCATATGGGGCCCGTTCGAGTCTCAGCTGCTCCTGTTCCAATTCAGCTCTCTGCTATGGCCTGGGGAAGCAGTGGAAGATGGCCCAAGCACCCACTGGGAGACCTGGAAAAAGTTCCTGGCTTTGGTCTGGCCCAGCCCTGGATGTTGTGGTCCTTTGGGTGGGAAGCAGCAGATGAAAGATTCTCTCTCTCTCTTTCTCTCTGCCTTTCAAATAAATAAATAAATCTTGAAAAAAAAAAAAAAGAAGAAGTCTGTCCTGCCTTTCCCAGTGAACTGTATTTCCAGGTAACCATATGGCCTACTTGATGGGTGAAAATTATTTTTTTAAGATTTATGTATGTATGTATTTATTTGGAAAGCAGAGCATCAGGGAGGGAGAGACAAAGAGAGATAGATGTTTTATCTGTTGGTTCACTTCCCAAATGACTGCAACAGCCAGGCCTGGGCCAAGTCAAAGCCAGGAGCCTGGAACTTCCTCCTGGTCAGCCATGTGGGTGCAGGGGCTCAAGTATGGGCCTACCTTCTGCTGCCTTCCAAGGTTCATTAACAGGAACCTGGATGGGGAGCAGAGCAGCCAGGACTGGGACCCGCAGACCAAGGTGGGTGCTGGCATCCCACTGCGCCACAACACTAGCCCCAGGAAAATTATTTACAGGTTTCCAGCTAATATGTGTGGAAGAATGATAGCATCAGAAATGCATCATTTTACAACCTCTAAGGAAATCAGTGGCCCAGATAAAGTCAGGGGTCTTCAAAGGAAGAAGCCATTACATGGGGGGTTGATGGGGAACTTTCCAAAGGAAAAATGGGCCTGCTGCCACCCAAGCCCACCTGGGGGGTCCTGATGTGACTCAGTAGAAGCCCTTGAAGCACCCAAGAAGTGTTCTTACCAAAAAAGTTGCATCAGAATCTACTCAAACCCCAGAGGTAATTTACAGGGGACGAGAGCTGGTTAAATGACAGTGGAGAGATCTAGAATGTAGGACATTCTGCGGGATGACCCCATTCCTGCCAGACAAAAACATGGAACAAATGAAAAACAAGAAGAGATTCCTGGGATAAAGTATCAAGAGACAATTTAAAAAACATGGGGTGGCAGCTGGTTAAGACGCCTGGCTGAAATGCTGGCATCACAGGTTGCAGTGTCTGGGTTCAAGACCAGGCTCCACTCCTGATTCCAGTGTGCACCTTGGGAGGCCACAGTGATGGCTCAAGTAGTTGGGTTCCAGCCACCCACATGGGAGGCCTGGGTGGAGTTCCCAGCTCCTGGCTTTGGTCCAGCTCAGCCTCGGCTGCAGGCATCTGGGGAATGAACAAGTTGATGGGATCTTTCTGTCTCTTTCTCCACCCCACTCCCCCGCCCTGTCTCTTTCTTTGTCTCTCTGCCTTTCAAATAAATAAAATGTAAAACAAACAAACAAACAAACAAAAAAAAAACCCACCCACTCATTGTGACTCTGATGGATGACCTTTTCTGGATCCTGATTTGAACAAAGCATTGTAAAAAGACATTTGGTGACAATTAGGAAAATTTGATTAGTAGTGGATTTTAAATGATTCCAAAGAATAATTTTTAATTTCATTAGGCATAATCAGGGCTTTGTGGAAATGTAAGACAAGTTTTTGATGGTTGGATTCCTGTATTAAATACATAGGAATGGAATGACTGAATGTCTGGGATTTGCTTGAAAATTCTTCTGGGTGGGAAAATGGGGGCAGGTATTGTGGCACAGACGGTCAAGCCAACATCTCTCTGTGTCTCCTCCTCTCTCACTCTGCCTTTCAAATAAATAAATCTTTAAAAGATGAGTAAGGTAGAAGAAGGAATCCAAGAATTCAGGTTAGTATTCAGTGTTGTGGCACAGTTGGGTAAGCTGCCAGTTGTGTCACCAGCATCCCCTAATAGAGCTCTGGTTCAAGTCCCAGCGGCTCTGTTTTCAATCCAGCTTCCCACGAACGAGTCAGGAAAGCAGCAGAACATGGCCAAAGTGCTTGGGTCCCTGCCACCCATGTGGGAGACCTGGAGGGAGTTCTGAGCTTCTGGATTCAGCCTGGTCCAACCCTGGCAGTTGCAACCATTTGAGGCAGTGAACCAGCGGATGGGAGGGTCCTCTCTCTCTCTCTCTGTTTCTCTTCTTTTCAAATAAGTTTAAAAGGAAAGACTTTCAGGCCGGTGCCACGGCTCACTAGGCTGATCCTCCGCCTTGCGGCGCCGGCACACCGGGTTCTAGTCCCGGTCGGGGCACCGGATTCTGTCCCGGTTGCCCCTCTTCCAGGCCAGCTCTCTGCTGTGGCCCGGGAGTGCAGTGGAGGATGGCCCAGGTGCTTGGGCCCTGCACCCCATGGGAGACCAGGAGAAGCACCTGGCTCCTGCCTTCGGATCAGCGCGGTGTGACGGCCGCAGCACACTGGCCGCGGCGGCCATTGGAGGGTGAACCAATGGCAAAAGGAAGACCTTTCTCTCTGTCTCTCTCTCTCACTGTCCACTCTGCCTGTCAATAAATAAATAAAGGAAAGACTTTCAGCTGGATGACTGGAACAGGTCCAGGAGCTAGGAGACGTGCAGACTGAGTGTATGATTATGGTAGAGCTGGTTTCTCGCTGGGAGCATCGCTTCCGTATGTTACAGGTCCCCAGCCCCAAGCTTCTCCCCTCCATTGTTCCCTCCACTCTGCTGCCAGAGTGACACAGCCCCTTCACCAAACCTAAGCCTGCCCTTTCCTGACAAGGGTGGTTGTTTAAGGGCTTGATCACTTTGTAGTTGGAAACTTGAGGAGCTGAGGCTGAACTGATGTCAGTTTATATGATTTAGCTTATCAATTTGATGACACAGGTTTTACTGATTTATTAGAAAGAGTTACAGAGAGAAGGAGAGACAGAGCTAAGATCCGTCATCCGCTGGTTCATTCTCCCAAATGGCCTGGGATAGTCTGAAACCAGGAGCCAAGAGCTTCATCTGGGTCTCCCATGTTGGTATAAGGGCACAAGTACTTGGACCATCTTCTGTTGCTTTCCCCAGTCTATTAGCAGGGAGTTGGATTGAGAATGGAGCAGCCGGAACTTGAACTGGCGCCCACATGGGATGCTGGCATTGTAGGCTGCAACTTAACCCACTATCCCACAATACCGGCCCCTACAATAGTCTTAAAATGTTGGATTGGCTGGCGCT